AGAGAGGCAGAGGTAGGGCGAGGCTGGTGGGAAGAAGGCTGTGCTGGATTTGAGACTGTGCTCAGTTTTGGCACAGGCATGAATGAGCCCAGTAGCCTGCATTCTGCACGCGGACTCAAGGCCCATACACACTGTTTGATACCTGCATGGGTTCAGTGGCTCATCTCTTGACAGCACCTCCCCTCCTGCCCTGGCCGATTTTCTATGCCTCTCCCTCTGATCCTGTTAATTCTCATGCAGACCGCATTCTTTCAGGGATGTCTAAACACTGCTTTGAGCAGACTATTATTTCCTATGAAAGTCAATTCCCTTCCTTTCCCAGAGGTCTCAAAGGACTTGCCTCTTGGCGTGACTCTTGTAGGGAGTGAAAATTTCCTGATTCCAGCTGAAATTCTCAGTGCTGGGGACACATTTTCTGTTGACCCAAGCAAGTCTGATTGAAAAAAGGAAAAAAGGACTGGGTAGCTTTGCCTCTTCTAACAGCAGCCAAAAAAACCCTAGGAAACATCAAGGCTGGAGGTACCACGATTCCCAATTTGAAACTACAGTACGGAACTATACAAAACAAAAAAAACTATAGCATTGGTATAAGATATACAAATAGACCAATGAATAGATACGAATGAACCCACTATATATGTGTGAGTTCACCAGATATGAATCCACACATATACAGTCAATAAATTTCTGACAATGGAACCAAAAGTAAACCACGTGGAAAGGACAATATCTTCAGAAAGTAGTGTTGGGAAAGATAACCTAGCAATCAGAAGATTTTATACATCTGCAAGGGGTTGATATTCAAAATATATAAAGAACTCACACAATTTAACATCAAAGAACCAGGCAATGGCACTGCATATGTTCCTCTGAGTCCCATGAGACATTATCCCAGGTTATTTCTGACTCCGTGAGATACCCTAAGTTATCCCACAGAGTCAGGAATAAACTATGAACACCACCAGATATGATTCCCTCCATAAACAAGCCACCTAATAAAAAAATGGGCATAATCTGAATCGATACTTCTCCAAAGATGATATACAAATAGCCCACAGTCACATGAAAAAATGTCCAACATCACTTATTGTCAAAGGTATGGAAATCAAGCCACACTGAGACAAACAGCTCATACAGGTGATGCTTAGGCAATTATCCAAAGGATATGAAAGCATGACTTCAAAAAGATATCCCCACCCTCATGTACACAGAAGCATTAGTCAAATAGTCAAACATGGAACCAAACCAAATTTCAATGGACACACAGTACAGTAAGAAGCTGTGTCCTATATAGTCAATGGAATACTGTGGAATACTCAATGGAATATACTCTGACATTGGAAAAAAATATATTCCATTTGAGACAAACTGGATGGTACTTATTTCAATGAAATAAGCCAAGAAGTTAAAGACAATTACCAAAGGGTTTCTCTTATGTGGAATATAAATAACCAAAGCAAATAAACTGGTAAGAATGATCTTAGACTCAGTGGTAGTTACTAGAGGGAATGAAGGGTGGGAGGAAGGGTTACAGAAGCCTGTTAGTAATGAGATGGTGCTGTAACTTGGCTTGATGGTGTGATGAATTCTCTCTTTTGTGTTGTTCTGGCTACACCGAGTGGTGTAAAGGCTCTTTGATGAGGGTTCACTCCTGATGGTCCTCAGGAGACCATATATGGTACCAGGAATGAAACTGAAGTTGACTGCATGCAAGGCCTTACCCGAGTCATATCTCCTGGCTTGATGTGGGAAATTCTATACACACATGGAGGTTTTAAGCTATACCCATGATATTACATAACACTGTAAACTCATGAAAATCTAATAAAGAAGAGGAAAACTTAAATGCAGCAGAGGATATGAATAGACTTCCAAAGAATACATAACAATGCCAACAGGTACATGAAAAAGTGTTCAAAATCATTAATCAGCATGAAAACACAAACCAGTGCCAACCTGAGACTTCATATCATGTTTGTTAGAATGGCTGAGCACAAACGGAAAAGTGGTAACCAGCTTTGGTGAAGCTGCGCAGAAAAGGAAAGCCGGATGCACTGTTGGTGGGAATGTGACTTACATGGCCACTATGGAAACAGTTAGGAGTCCTTAAAAAAAATTAAAAACAGAGCTATCATGTAATGCAGAAATCCCACTTTCTACTTAGGGGTATATATAGAGAGAAAATTAAAAATAATTTGAAAAAATAGATGAAGCCCATGGTTCCCTACATTGTTTTAATAATAGGAAAAATATGGAAACTATGTGATTGTCAAGGATAAAGAAAGGATAAAGAAAATGGGAGATTCAGCAGAAACATCATCTGCACTCCTATGTTCATTTCATCACTATTCACCATAACCAGAATCTGGAAACAACCTGAGTGCCCAAGAACAGATGAATGAATAAAGAAATTTATGACACATCTACCAAAGGAATGGAATACTATGCAGCTGTCAAAAATGAATTCATGAAATTTGCCTATAAATGAATGGGCATGGAGAGTATCATGCTGAGTGAAATGAGTCAGAAGGAAAGGAACAGATATAGAATTATTCCATTCATTTGTGGTATATATTTATATTATATATAGTAGAAGATATACGTACATACAAACATACATACATATATATGTATATATAGTAGAAGAATAATATCCATGGCCAGAGAAAACAGGGGTTAGGAGTACTGGTCAATGGTTTGAACTAACAAAAAGTGTGTATGAGGGCTAAGGGTAGGTAACTGTGACAATAATAGCTGGGAATGATCACACTGGACAAGATCTGATGGTTAAAAGTAGGTAAGGGATATTCTTGATAACCTTTTGGCACCAATATTGCAAGCCACAATGCCCAAAAGGAGAGAGAGAGAAGAAAAGAGTCTGCCACAGAGGCAGGCAGAGGGTGGGGTGGGGTGATGGAGGGAACCTGAGGACATTGGTGCTGGGAAATGTACACTGGTGGAGGGATGGGTGTTCGAATACTGTATGACTGAAATCCAATCATGAACAGCTTTGTAATGGTCTATCACAGTGATTCAATTAAAAAGTTAAAAAAAAGAAAATGTGAGATATTATATATAGACCTCTCTATAAAATACCATGTTATTCAGACCAAAGAACGAAAAAAAGTCCTGCCATTTTCAGTAAAACGGAACTTGAGGGTGCTATGCTAAGTTAAATAAGTTAGAGAAAGACAAATACCATATGATCTCAGTTATATGTAGAATCCAACTTAAAATCAAAATAACTTATACAGAGAACAGGTGTGTGTGTTTGTGTGTGTGTGAGGGGAGAAGTATGTGAGAAGCTGAAACAGGTCAAAATATACAAGCCACCAAACATAAAATAACACAAACGGGGAGCAGCATTTAGCCTAGTGACTACAGTTAATAAGGCCACACTGTGCTTTGGAAAGTCACATGGAGTCTATAGAAAAACCACCATGAATGCTCCTGATTTTCTTTGATTACAGAAGCTAAACAGGGTCTGACCTGGCTAATATTTCAGTGGACGGAAGCTGCTAAGAGAACAGCTATTAAAAGTTCCCATCACAAAGGAAAAAATGGTAACTCTGGTGATGAATTTGTAATAAATGCTAACACTGAATTATTAAAAACACCTGGGGCCGAAGCGATAGTACCGGGGTTAAGGCATTTGCTGTGCACTGGGCTGGAGCGATAGCACAGCGGGTAGGGCATTTGCCTTGCATGCGGCTGACCTGGACGACCCAGGTTCGATTCCTCCACCCCTCTCAGCAAGCCTGGCAAGCTACCGAGAGTATCTCGTCCGCACGGCAGGGCCTGGCAAGCTACCTGTGGCGTATTCAATATGCTAAACACAGTAACAAGTGTCACAGTGGAGATGTTACTGGGCCTGCTTGAGCAAATCGATGAACAACAGGAAGACAGGGACAGGGACAGTGAGAACAAGTCTGATTCAATTCTTGGGATGGTCTCCTGGGCATGGGTGCAGAGCTAGAAGCAGCCGGGAGCAGTCCCCCACCTCCTCCACCTCAAAGGCAAGCTTATGGACAAATACACCTTTGACAGACTGAGACACAGATTGAAGGTACTGCACAGACTCACTTTCCTTCAGAGTAACCCTCCCACCTCCCACAGCGGGGAGGCCTAGGGGTTCCCCACCCTGGCTGCCACTCCCCATTTTCTTTCCTTGCTTGGTTAGACTCTGCACGTACTTTGGGTCTTTGACATATTCTGCCACAATGAATTATACCCCAAAGACTTTCTTGTCCTCTATGAACATTGTCCCTTCTGCATAGAAGACATTTCCAATCAGCATATAAGTGAAAGGCCTGATTTTGTAGGTTTTCAAAAACAGATTAGTAATTACATATACAACCAAAAAAACAAAAAACAAACTTTTCAACCAAAAAAAAAAATCTTTCAAGTGTGAAGTAAAAACATGTACTGCTAGACAAAAAGTATAAATCAGACCAAAAAAACCCCACCTCAATACCAGTATTTTCCTACTGATATTTTCAAAAGAACTTTTAAATACCAAAATACCAACATTAAATACCAATTTAACTAAAACTGTTACTTCAGAAGACAACATAAATGTATTCTTCCACATGATGTGAAGGGTAAAAAAAAATAAAACTCAGTCATTTAGAATGATTCAACTTTTGATATGACTTTGTAGAAATGAGATGCTCAAAAGCATATCTACTTTTAATTTGTTTAAGAAACTAAGAAAATAACGCCTTTTATTAGAAGAAAAACTTTATGCTCTTTTAAAATATATCTGTCTAGGGAAGCTCAGCCATCAACTAAATCATAACCGGTGAGCATTACTAATAAAGGAGCATGGCTTTGTAGGAAATCTGAAAAAGTTTTTGTCAAGTACAAGCTAATTTTCCCATAACCTTCTTAATCGGGAGCCACAGTCAGAGATGAGAAAAATGAGAAACACAGAGAACAGAGGCGAGAATGTCACACATGGCCAGGCTGACACAGATGGGGAAGCAAACTGAATACTGTACCTGCTTATTACTGTCAGTGGTACAACACAGTTTCTTGAGGGAGACAAAATGCCTAATTTTCCTAATAACATAAATAATAAGTTATTAGTGAGTCAGATACAAGATGATTCAAGAAATCAGCAAATGAAAACATCGATGGTGTCTTTGTTTTTGAGCAAAAGCCCAGGGCCCACCCTGGGCTGGTCCAAAACTCCAACACAGGCCAAGATCTACAGAAAGCGCTTTCCTCAAGCACAGACTCCACACCAGCCGAGTGCTCCTTCAGTCGGAGCTGGTGCTGAAACTCATCCCTTATGGGGTTTCTCTTGGGGGACTCCCAAAGCTGGGCTCCCAGGTAGCTTCCTTCTGTGGTAGGATGAGAGGGGACTCCAGAATTAAAAATCTGTTGTAATTCTGCTGACACTAATAGTTCTACAGTTTCCATAAAAAAAGCAACAGATTCATTTGGACACCTATTAAATTCCAGGACTGCTGTTCTTTCTATCTGGTATTCTATCATTGCCATGGCAGTTCTCAGGCTGAGAGAAATTCTCGGACTTCCAGCATGGGCAGGGTCCTGAAACTCAGTCTGAAGTTTTGCCCCTGGCCAGGAGGAAGACCAGGCAAAGAATAGGCACACAACTCAGTCTTGCTCAAAAATCAGCTCATCAGGGTTTCTCCTGAGAGGGAAGCCAGGAGTTCCAGAGGGCTGTTTTAGACTCTATAGCAAGGAGCTAATGTGTTTCATCTATTCATTTATCTGCCTTCGCTCCTTCCTTCCTACCTTTTCTTTTGTTCCCCTGAAGAGAGCATAGAAAATACTTTTCTCTAATGCGTCCCACTGAGTAGGAAGAAGCAAGCAAGACCACTACTGCAACAGGAAATTTCCCTCTGCTAGGCTTTTTTGCAACGGAGGTGGGGTGGGAGATAACAATGGAGATTGTGTCTGGACAAAGAACTCTTATCTGAGGCACCAGAAAGTTCAGGGAAATTTATTCCAACAGAAATTACCAAGCAATGGTGTGTCTCCGGCTGGGATCAATTAATACTTCTGGTCGTACATGAGAAAGGAATCTTAAGTTTGTGAAAAGATGGTCCAAAAGTGATGGCTACCATGGGACAGCCCCCAAGGCCTCTAAGCATGGCCCAAAGGTGGACATGCCCAAGCCAGGGCTCTGTCACTTGAGAGGGCAAAGGATGACACTAAAAATACCCCAGGCCAGGGGCCTGTCAGTGCCCCACCACCCAGAGGGAAGCAGAGACGAGGCACAGGTTTCCCAAAAGGCAAGAAATCAGAGATGTGATCTCTGCGCTAGGTGGGCAACAATTTCAAAACTAACCAGACAAGTGAGACGGGAGAGGAAATGCCCTGTGGCTGCTTCACAGACTTCCTGGGTGTGTCTAAGTGTAAATCGCACAACAACTGGCCAGGGGCGCTGGGGGTTCAGGCCCTTCTCAGGGCCCTTAGAGACAAGCTGGCCTCTTCTGGAGAGAGGGTGACCAGCTCACATTTTCCCTTGTCCCAAAAGGTGCCTCTAAGTGCGGCCTGGCCCAGGAGTCCTTGTCATTTAGTTGTTGTGAAGCAGGTGGGGAGGCCAAGAGATGGCGCCTTCGGGAAGGCTCTGGGGACAACCTTGGTGCCCTTAGGAGAGGCATCTGCGTGGCCCAGCCCGACTGCACTGCCAGCACCCAACTCAAGCTGGCATTTCTGTCTGTGCGTGCAGAGCCCACCCCGGCACTTGAACCAAGAGTTCAAGAGTTTGCTCTCACCCTCCTTGGCCAATCACTGGGGTGATCTTCACGTGCTGCTGGATGCTGTCCCCGGACTTCCGTCTGGCATAGTAAACTCCCTGCCACTCCTACACGAACAGAGAGAGTACTTAAAATCCTATGTCCTGGCCTGCAGCCACCTTGCCAAAGCCAATCCAGCCCCCACATGCTCTGGGGACAGGCCTCACATCACTGCAGTCTTGCTGCTGTGTCTGTGTACATCTTGGCTGGCTCTTAGTCCTGCTTGACTTAGTCCAAGACTGTTGGACTCATATGCATATGCACAGCCAGGCTGCACCTTGGGGTCCCGGGACATGAGTGAGCAAAGGAGGGTGTTCCTGCTCATAACTCTCAAAGTGGGGGTGGGTGGCCCCAGGGCAAGGAATTCTTCACAGGGGGGATCTCAGAATCCTCTCAACAACCTGTCCACTGGGTCTTCCCACCCTTAGATGACAGATGGGCAAACTGAGGCTCAGAAAGTTTAACTGGGCTGTGCACGGTAAGAGGTGGAGAATCTAGCATATATCCCCAGATGCCTTTTATCTTTCTCGTACTCAATGGCCTCCAGCTAAGATTTCTCTGGGATGAGTCTGGTCCTGAGCATTTTCTAGGGAGGAGGCAAAGGGGGAGGAGTCTGTTGCGGGGGGGGGGGGGCCAGGAGCTGGGACAAAGCTCCAGGTGATCTGGGGGGCAGGGGCAGGATCCCTGGTAGCTCTGCATTTGGAGGGAGGGAGCATAATCCCCACAACCATTTTCGGTTAATGCAGAAGGCTAATGGACGGATGCACATTCTGGGCTCACCAGAAAAGGGGGCCTTGTTCCTCAGCTCTTTGGAGGGCTTGTCCTGGCCCATGTCCTGCTCCCTTCTCTGTCTCCCTCCTTTCTGGGCTTAGAACCAGAATCATCCTCGTGGACCCAGGCCCAAGTGGATGATGCCTGATGCGGGTCAAAGCCTGCATATCAGAGACAGTGAGCGGAAAAAAACCCTGCAGGGTTTCAGGTAGGCTGGGTGCTGGGAAGAGAGGCAGAGGCAATTCCAGCCAGGAGAGCAGACTTCCCCTGAGGGGGGTGCTTGCCCAGAGCCCCCACCTCACTGGCATGGAAAGAGAATCAGCTGGAATTGCTATCACTCTGTGGGGAACAGGATCATGAACAGGATGGGGCTCCTCGTCCTTAAGGGCTGGACACAAGAGCTCCCGAGGGAATCTCTGCTTTGGGATAAGAGGCTGGTCCAGAAATTTGGGAAATCCCCATGCAACCTCATCAGACCAGACCATATGACTTGCCACCATGGCACAAAGCCCCAGGTTCTCCTGGGAACCCAGAGGGATCACACTGAAAACAACGCGCTCCCGTGGCAAACTCGGAAGAGAGTTCATGTCATCAGAGCATTATTCAGGAAGCCAACCTGAGGGTGGGCCAGAGAAATGCACAGAAAAGCAAAGGTCCCGGGGACAGGGCCCCCGGTGGTTGTGCGGCTGCACCTACCTTGCCCTTCTTGATGCACGTGTTGATGGTGTCGAGGAGATCTGCTCGGTTCTTATCGCTCTTGGGCAGCTCAGCTAGTTCTTTCCCCAGGAGCTCGCCTTTGTGATAGCCCATCATCCTCTCGAAGGCGGGGTTGACATACTGTGAGAGGGAAGCAGAGACAGTAACTGAGCACTTGTGGGGGCACAGAGGAAGATGAGCTGGGAGAGCTCACAAGAAGCCTCCGCCCCTTGCCAACTACCTGGATGCCGGTCTCAAGGGATCCCTGCCCAGGGCCCTCCTGGAGCCTCTGCTACTGCTGACCCTTCCTCAGCATTTGGGTCCGTGTGGGATATGGAAGAAATTCAACAAAGGGCAAGAGATGCCCATGCTCCCATGCCTGCCTGCACTGCATGGTATTCATCACTGTTCATACAAGGACTCAGGAGAAACTCAGCACGGGGTGGGGAGGGGCCGGGGGCGATGGGAGGCAAGTAGGAGAGTTCACCAGAACTCAAGTCAACAGGAGGTTCTTTTAACGTCCTGTGCCCATGAGCAGTGAGATACTCTCTCCTGTCTCTTATCTGCCCCCTGCTGCCCAGGGGCATGCCACTTCCAGTCTCCGCACAATGAGTCCAGCTCAAGGGCTTGGAGAGCAGGTGACCCTCTGGATGCTGGTCCCGGGTCAGGCTTGCAAAGAGGCTCCCCGGGGAACATTCTTCAGACCCAGAAAGTTCTTTCCACAGCTCTGTCCCCAGAGCCCTGGAACTGAGAGCTCTAACCTGATCTGGCCCTTTCCCCATCTGCTCCGATTCCTTTTCAAAGGCAAGTTCAAGAGCAGAGTTGGAGTGAAGGAGGTCAGGGCGCAATCATGTGGGGTCAGAGGGAGCCACTTCCCAATGGCCCAATCTCCATCCATCTGATCCGATGAAGTCAGACTTGCGCTCCACTGTGAGAGTGGCAGGAAGGGCCTGTCAGAGCTGTTCCTGGGGGAATGGCCTCGCACCAAACTACCCAGGAGATGGAGGGAAAGCAAGGATGTTCTGTGGCCCCAGCAGCAGGCCTGAGGGGGCTCTGCAGGAGATGGGTTCTCCCACTGTCCTCTCTGATCTCCTGCCCATTCCCCAGGTGGTCAGAACACACCCTCAGCCAGCCCAGTCCCTCACCCGCACATCACTGCCTGCCGCTATGCCTTGGCTCATTCACACTCTTTGCTTCTAACGTCCTCTGGCAGCTCCCAGCCTCACCAATTCCACTGTTTCACTCCAGGAAGCAATCCAGACCCCATGCCCAGGCTGACTGACTGCCCTCCTAAGTGCAAGTTTTCCATGACTTCTTACATGCTCTCTTTCCCATTAGACACTAAACACACAAAGGCAAAGGCTGCTTTCCAGTTCTCTTTGGATGATGCTCAGGGCTATTTAGAAAATATCAGATAGGTGGATAACATTTTACTATGGTTCTTACTGGCTGGCTCTGTTCTCATGCATTTTCACACACTTCTTTTCTGCATTCCCTTTCAGGTTGCTAATACAAGCAGAAGTCGTGGCCTGTCATGACACAAGGCCTCCTGCAGCCCTGGCATGCAGCACTGGGTGGCTCCAGTATGTCTCTGCACTGAGCCATGGCTGTGTCTCAGCTGCGCATCGTAGGCAAGTAAGTTCCTTGTTCCTGATTTTCTCTGGCCCTCGGCTTCATGAGCCCCGCCTGGCCCAAGGGTGTCTTGTGCATATGACTGTTTTTAAGAGACAGATGTATATGTGACTGATACGTGGTGCAGTGTCTGACCTGTGGTCGGCACCTCTGCTGGAAAGCAAACAGTTTGGATGATCCCTCTAAACCTTATTGTGCAATTGCCTAAGTTCTGAACATTGGAAAGAAGCCACCAACTTTGGGGCCAGAGCAACAGAACAGTGGAAAAGGCACTTATCTAGTGCATAGCCAACCCAGGCTCATCCCCAGCACCACATATGTCCCCCTGAGCCCACCAGGAGTGATCCCTGAGCACAGAGCCAGAGAAATCCCTGAGCACCACTGGGTGTGGCCCAAGAACAAACAGAAGACATCAACTTTTCTGTGGTCGAGCCCTGAAAACCAGCTGACATAGGGTAGGGACATATATCAAGCATCTATTTATGATTATTCATCCTGACTGACCACCCTCATTCAGATAAAGCAGCCTTTATCTGGGGTGCACACAAAGGGCACTTCACCTCTATATGTAACACTCTCTACTCAACTTCTCCTTGCTCTGAAGTTTCAGATTCATGCTACTGGCTTCTATTCTGTGCTTGCTTTTTATTTTGGTGGGTGCCTTATAAGGGGTCCTCTAGGTTGGAGACCACCAAGGCTACACCCAACAGTACTCAGGACACAGGGCCAGACCCAGTGACCCTGAGGGGGCCATGTGAATGCTGGTGTTCCAACTGGGGTCCCACACATGTAAGGCATGTGCTTTAATTTCTGTACTCCCACACAGCCCCTAGTAGGGAATTTTTAAGGTGACTCACCAGGGCTTTTCTTTGTATGCTTCTCATTTTCTTTGTACGCGGAAACCCACCCCATCCTCACTTTCCTAGGTGCCCCTTTTGAAAAGTTCTATTCATAAACATAAACCTAGAAAGTGTCACCATACCTGAATCACATGGTCATCACTTGTAATTTCTATGGCTTCATGACAATGGTCTAATGCTGTAAACACTGAATTACAGGCCCTGAAAAGTGACAAAAAATGGATATTAGTTCTGCTGTAAAATTATCAGCCTTTCACCACTTAATGTTACAAAGTAAACAGATCCTCAGAATCATTAAAACTGAGTACTTTCATCTTTTGAGGAAAAAATTTTTGAGGAAAAAATTTATTAAGCTTAAGGGAGTAGCTATGATGTGATTCTGTGTGTGTGTGTTTGTGTTTGTGTCTGTGTGTGTGTGTGTCTGTGTGTGTGTGTGTGTGTGTGTGAGACACAGAGAAGACTTGTGATGCAACAGAATCATCTCGGAGCACAGGATGAACTGTGGGTGCTGGGTGAAACCTGAACACTGATATGTAGACCTGAGATGCTGGGAGACCATCTCGCCCTCAGGGTCATCCTTGCTTTCATTCTCGAGTGATCATGAGGAAGTCAATTTCCCATCAATTAGGAGAACTAATTAGGCACCAATGGGATCTGAGGTCTTCTGGCCTTTTGCTACAAGCACATACACATTTATTCTCCTTCCTTACTTCTGTGATTTCAGATAAAGCAGCCTTAAAGATGCTCTGCTCCAACCACACCCCCAGGCCCTGTAAAAGGCAGCTAGGCAGAAACCCTCCTGCTGGTGGACTATCCTCAGGCAGCTCTAAAGGGGGGCACTTTCCTTAATGACCTTCTTAGCTAGCCAGCATCTCTGAAGTCACTCGATTTCTCCGGGTGAAATGGAACTGCTTCCCAAATCTACAGAAAATGCAAATACATTCAATTACTACCCCACACTGCAAATAGACAGCTAGTGACGGCAGCCTGCTATTTGTACTGGCCACTGAAAAAAATCCCACAGAAGGCTTTATTACATAATCAAACACACACACACACACACACACACACACACACACACACACGCGTGCGCGCACACACACACACACACGCCTTGATTTACTGGACTGATGTTTCTTCTAAAGAAAACTCTTAAAATGTTACTATTTTTTCCATTCATAAAGGAATCTGACTTTGCCATCCTTTTCAGCTGTTTCTGAGGAGCAGGGCAGAACTGGGAGAAAATTGGGTCTGTATTTTGCCAGTAGTAGAACCTTGAGTTACTTTTTGTTGTAGGTTTTTGTTTTAGGGCCACACCTGGTGGTCCTCAAGGGTTACTCCTGGCTCTGCACCAGAGACCACTCCTGGCAGGCTTGGGGACCATATGGGATGCCAGAGATGGAAACAGGTGGGCTGCATGCAGAGCAAGTGTCCTACCCGCTGTACTAGCATTCTGTATCTCTAGGCTCTCATCTTGAAAATGAAGTTAACGCTCAATTTTTATAGGTTACTGTAAACATTCAAACAGTTCACTTGATGCATTTTTTCAAAAGGCTTGGGATAGTGTAAGAAGTAACACATTGTATTTTATATGTGTAATATCCCAGAGTCATATTTCTTAGTTCTCTAAGACTTTCAAATATCATGCTAAGTTAAATGAGCCAGAAAGAGAGGAACAGACATAGAAAGACTGCACTAATCTGGGGGAATATATAGTAACAGAATGGGAGTCGAGCACCCAAGAATAGTTGAGGTAAGTACCAGGTCTGCTCCATGGCTTGGAAGCCGGCAGCACATGCTGGGGGGAAAGGCAGCTCAAATAGAGAAGGGAACACCAACCAAAGGAAGTTTGGAGGACTCGCTTGGGATGTGAGATGAGTGCTGAAAGTAGACTATAGACCGAACACAATGGCCACTCAACCTCTATTTCAAACTACAAGACCCCGAAGGAAAGAGTGAGCAAAAGGGAATGCCCTGCCACAGAAGCAGGGTGGGGTGGGGGTATGGTGAGAGGGCTACTCGGATCTTTGGCGGTAGAGAATGGGCATTGGTGGAGGATGGGTACTCCATCATTGTATAACTGAAACCCAAGCACGAAAATTTGTAAGTCTACAACTGTACCTCATGATGTTTCACTAATAAAAAACAAACAAGCAAAAAAAAACTTTCAAAGGTCACTGGCAAAAAGAAAATTGAGTCACAATCTACCTTATCACTCTAGTAGACCTGAATTGTCAAACTCAAAACTCGATTCAATAAAAGCAAGGCAACTTACAAAGAGGGATCCCCACCCAGGAAGGGCTCTCTCATCCCCCAGCAGCAGAGATGAAGGTTCCAGTGTGGGAGCACGAGGGAAATCATCATGGTGTGGGTGAGTAGAGGGGAAAATAAATCCAACTCGAGTGAGACCCCTGATGGGTAAAGTCTATTCCTCTATTTAAATTGTTCCCAGTCAACCAAATATGCTCAGAATTATTGCTCTACCAGTGGGATGCATTTAGTAACATTGAAAATAAAGCAAAAGGGAAGGAAGCCGAGAGAGAGAGAGAGAGAGAGAGAGAGAGAGAGAGAGAGAGAGAGAGAGAGAGCTGTAGAAAAGGCACTTGCCTTGCACACGGCTGATCCTGGTCAGAGCCCCGGCACTGCAGATGTTCCACCAAGTACTACCAGGAGTAACCCCTCAGCACAGACCCAGAAGTAAGCCCCATGCACAGCTGGGCATAAGCCCCCTCCCACAATTTAGTTAAAAATTAATGAAAACAATATAAAGGAATACAAGAGGATTTTAAACCATTACTCAAGTCAGTACTGCATGGTTCTCCTGAAGAAGCAGGCAAAGGGTAGGGTGGGAGTCTTTTTTTTTTTTTTTTTTTTTTTTTGCTTTTTGGGTCACACCCAGTGATGCTCAGGGGTTACTCCTGGGTTTGCACTCAGGAATCACTCCTGGGTTACTCCTGGCTTTGCACTCAGGAATCACTCTTGGCGGTGCTCGGGGGACCATATGGGATGCTGGGAATAGAACCCGGGTCAGCCGTGTGCAAGGCAAATTCCCTACCCACTGTGCTATTGCTCCAGCCCCAGGGTGGGGGTCTTACCAAAAGTATTTCTAGGCATTTGGGAATGTGCCTACTGGAACGTGGCCCAAGTCCTCCAGAATTGAGAGGGAGGTTTGGGGGAAGTGTATCCCCTGGAGACCAACTCCTTAAGCTTTAAACTTAGATCAGTAAATGACAACTGACATTGCATAAGGTGATAAATTCTTCTCTTGCACAAGAATTTTCTTTGAGTACTCATGTGCCTAAGTCTAGTATGCAAACAGGTGCCCCAGGGCACTACTGGTTTAGTCAATGCAACTGGCTGCCTTTGTACAAGGTCTTAGCTCCAGCCTCCGAAGTTTACTGATTTAATACTCATTTTATGGCTATGCACAAAGCACGGAAGCTGAAGTATGATAGGGCCCAGTGGGACAAAGCGAAATTTTCCTCAAGTGCTGAAGGAATATTATAGGACTAGATCATTCTTCCATAACCCCCAGGACTAACTCTAACTGAACTGCCAGGTTTATATCCAGGCTTCAAACCTCCAGGCAGGTGGTTCTATTGAATAAACCTGCAGCAAAATGAGGTCATCAATTTAACTCCTGCTCCTAGAATGGGAACTAAATTTCTTGCATTGATACTTCTTATGAAAAAGCAGCTTGGATTTATTAACTTTATGCTTGGGGCAATCATGTAACACTGTACCTTTTTTGTATCCTGCAGGCTGAGAAGTTGGACAACTGGGAAACTAAAGTTGTACAGAGAAAGTAAGCTCAGAGCATCCGGCAGGTTGACAGAAAAGTAAACATTCCCCTCACATCTTCTGCCAGGCCTCTGAAGGCCTAGAGCAGTGATGTTCAATTTATTTATCCTACCACCCCCTTTTCAGAAAAAAAAATTACTCAGCAGCTCCACTGAAATCTATCTTCTTTAAGGAAGAAACAAAAAGATTACCCCTGGCCCATACTGTTTCTGAGGCTACTACCACATACCCATCATTGTCCACTTCAGGAAACACTGGTCTAGAGAGAAGCAAAATATGACAGGGGCCAGAACACAGTGGTAGGATGGGTACAGAGTTCATCAGCACGGAAGATGACTTCTCCCCATCCCACCACCATCATCACGGAGGGTCCTGGCAGTATCCCAGAGTACCACTGGCTCTTCATGTTTTCCTGCTAACTGTGGCTGAGGTGAGTTTCATGAGTCCTTGTGTCCTCCTTCCAAAGGTTACCTAGAAACTACTCAGCCTCATCTCCCACACCTCTAACAGATACACATACACACATACACACATACACACACACACTGCCTGAAACAAAGGTAGGAAGGGTGGTGACTTGTTGCAGGAGATTCTGAACACAAATCCACATCCTGGTGGGGATCTGGAGAAGTAGAGGTGGCAAGAAGATCATGGCTTTGCTACCGATGGCCCCTATTCTCAGGCAGCAAAGCAAGGAAGGTGGTTCCTTCAGGCCTTCACAGCCCAATTTCTCCACTGCTTAACACAACAGCTGTCAGACTGTCAAACAGCTGACCTGGGAATAAAACCATTAATACCCAAAACTGGAAAGCTGCACGGAATACAGAGTCGGGCTCATCAGAAATGATGATTCTAAGATCGGTGACTGCTACTGTCGGAGGATTTGATATAAACCAAGCATGATGGCTTGGGTGTGAGTCCTTGGTGATGCTCTCAAAGTGACAATGCCTGAATATAAACTTATCATACAGTGGGGACTGCATGAATATAAATTTATCAAACTCCCGTTAAGTAGCTAAATCCCATCTGAATTTATTATTATTATTATTATTTTCTTTTTGGATCACACCCGGTGATGCTCAGGGGTCACTCCTGGCTTTGCACTCAGGAATCGCTCCTAGTGGTGCTCAGAGGAATATATGGGATGCTGGGAATCAAATGGGTCGGCCGTGTGCAAAGCAAATTCCCTACCTGCTGTGCTATAGCTCCAGCCCCTGAGTTTTTGATAAGATGCTTCTCTTGGTGATCGACATTAAGAACATTAGAAAATATAAATGGTAACTGTTTTGTTTATATTTCACAAAAATCCCCAATTCATGAATCTCTTCAAGAGAAAATGTACACAGAGATGTGACTAAGTCCTCCCAGCTTTGAAAGGTGTTCGACATAACAGGATTTTAAAGCCAGATACTGCATCCTGCTTGATGACATATTTCTGTTATCATTGTAAAAGATGGTCACCAGACATGAAGACCGGGACACGGTCTGCATTCGTCCTCATCCCTGCAGCTCAAAGTGTCCTTGCAGAAAGTTAGCATGTCACATATTTAGCTGCAGCTGGGGGCGTAACTGCAGGGGAAAAGTATTATATAATTAGACTATAATTATTCTGGCACTGTGCAAGGAAGAGCCAGTCTGCAGCAAGACACGGAGTAAACTTGCTGCCTGACTCGGGATTAGAGGTAGGTGTTCAACAGGTCATGGAGGGCCAAGAGGAGCTGGGGCAGCAATGGTATGGGTCACCATATCCAAATCCTCTGCCTTCTGTAGAGTACAGTTGCTTGCTTTCCCACCAGTCCTGCAGGTTGCTGATGACTAAGCAGAGCACATCTGCCAGCCAAGAGTAGGCTGGTAAAAATCATGAGGGAATCAGGAGGTCAGGAAACTTGAGCCATTGTCTGCTGGGTCAAGTTCATTCACTAACTTTATGCTGATTTCTACTAAGAACGTGTCCATTTTTATGATGATCTTGATCCTGGTCCCAACTCCCCAACCCACGCCAGTGAGCACAGAGACGTTGCAGTCCTGGAGAGTGGGAGACAAACTAACCACTCAAGAAGCTCTGAATCTGGTGAGACCTTGCAGAATTCTGAGTCCTGGTTCAGAGAGTATTTCATCAGGACAGTCACCCAAAGCACTTCTTTTCCACCACTGTGCTGGCTGGGGATACTGATTTTGACCTGTCAGATGTCAAAATCAGCCCATTTCCCAATAGCCAAGCATCTCCCGGCATCTTATAAGGACCATCCTATCCAATGTTGCCTAAAGAAACTGATGTGTCTTGCTAATCATCAGGGAGATGCAACTCAAAACAACAATGAGATATCATCTCACACCACAGAGGCTGGCACACATTCAAAAGAACAAAAGCAACCAGTGTTGGCATGGATGTGGGAAAAAAGGACGCTCTTTCATTGTTGGTGGGAATGTTGACTGGCCCAGTCTTTTTGGAAAACAATATGGGAATTCCTTCAAAAAGCAGAAATTGAGCCTCCACATAACCCCATAATACTGCTTCTGGGAATATATCCCAAGGGTGCAAAAAAGCACAGTAGAAATGACATCTGCACCTGTATGTTCATTGCAACACTATTCACAATAGCCAGAATCTGGAAATAAACCGAGTGCCCGAGAACAGACAACTGGTTAAACAAACTTTGGTACATCTACACAATAGAATACCATGCAGCTGTTAGGAAAGATAAAGTCATGAAATTTGCTTGTAAGTAAATAGACATAGAGAATATCATGCCAAGTGCAGTGATTCAGAAAGAGAGGGATAGACACAGAAGGACTGCACTCATTTGTGGAATATAAAATAACATAATATGAGACTGACACCAAATGACAGTAGACACAAGGGCCAGGAATACTGCCCCATAGTTGGAAGCCTGTCTCATGAGCTTGGGGAGAAGGTAGCTGGAATAGAGAAGGGATCACTAAGACAGTGCTGGTTGGAAAAATCATTTGGGTTGGCAGATGTGTGCTGAACGATAAAGAACCAAACGTGATAATCTCTCAGTATCTGTATTGCAAAACATAATTCCAAAAAGTGGAGAGATTATGGGGGAAATTGTCTGCCATGAAGGCGGCGGGGGGAGGTTTGGAAAGGTGGGGTATACTGGGGACATTGGTGGTGGAGAATGTGCACTGGTAGAGGGATGAGTGTTTGATCATTGTATGACTGAAACTCAAATATGAAAGCTTTATAACTGTATCTCATGGTGATTCAATTAAGATAAATTCCCAATCTCTTAAAAAAAATACAACAAAAACCAGTAAGGACCAGAAAGGTAGTATAAGGACTAAGTTGTCTGCCTAAAATTGGATGCCCCTAATTCAATCCTCTCACCATCTGAGTGATTTCTGAGCACAGAGCCAGTAGTAAGCCCTGGGTGCCACCAGGTATGGTTCAACTCTCTCCCCATTCCAACCTGGATTGAACATAAAACTAGGGAACACTAGCTTACAGCACTTATATTTGGAACAGGGAGTAAAATATTATTTTTATTTACTTTGGCCACACCTGCTGGTGCTTGCTGGTGCTTAAGGGTTGTGGGGATGCTGGGGGACAGAATCCTGGTTTCCTACGTCTGAAGCCTAAAGTCAGCATTTTGAGCTCCCCTGGCCCAGGGATAACATTTTATACCTCTATCAGCTGTATGTCACCATGTCACATCCTGTAAGCTCCCATGTCCCTCTTCCATAGTCCCTAAGATCCCTTCAACCTGCTTTGGAAACTTTAGTTTCACAGTCAAAGTCCTAAGACTTGCTTCTTTTGGCTTTGGCCGTTTCCTTGTTTTGTCTGTTTACATCCCATCTATGGTTTAAATCAACCAGGGGTGTGTCTTTCTACTTCAAGATTTTTGCACTGAGCATGACCCTCAAGAGACACCTTTTCAACCCATTTTTGCCTAACAAGGTGACTCCCCTCAACTTGCCCCACTTTATTTCTTACTGCTCTTGTTTCACTACAGAACAACTTTTCAACCAGAGTGAACCCCCAGAGCATCGGCCCTGTGTATAGATGCCAATGCACTCTGCTTCCCAGGGACATAGAGTGAAAGGGAAATAAAGTTGAAAAACTGTTTTATCCCCCTTTGAAGACAAAGTCATCAAGCCAAGAAGTGTGATCATAACAGTGAGATCCTAGCTCACACTCTGAGCACCTGCCCTGGAGACCTCTATCAGCAGAATACAGCCATGTTGGGGACATTCTTGGCACCCAACTGCCTCCAAGGTGCCTTGATGGGAAGTGAGGTGAAGGCATGTATGAAAGATTGAAATCAATATCCCCGCCAGCATGAGTGGAGACATAAAGAGAGCTGGGCCACCGAGCCTCAAGGAGAAAAGTGTTGAACCAGAGCTCCAGGAACTCTGCAAGGTCTTGAGAGATTTTGAGTGTGTTACTGTCTCCTACTCTCCAGGAAGCAACATTTCCTCCCTCACTGGAGCTGGTTTGAGAAGCTGGAACCGTGGTCAAGGTCATCATAAAAATGATTGCATTTGGACACAGCCATATATCCAAAGCATAGTCAACAACACTGAAAACATGAGATCCAAACTACAATTTCTACATTTTAAAATGTGTCCACCTCAAGGTTACAGTAGGTTGAGGGTGGGATAGCGGGAGGAAACTTGGGGACACAGGTGGAGGTAAGTTTTTTTTTAAATATTTTATTTATTGAATCACCATGAGAACAGCCACAAAGCTTTCCAGTTTAAGTCTCAATTGATCATACAATGATCAAACACCCATCCCTTCACCAGTGCACATTTTCCACCACCAAGAATCCCAGTATAACCCCCCACCACTCCCCCTTTCCTGTGTGGCAGATTTAGGTGGAGGTAAGTTGACTCTGGTGCTAGAGCATTATGTGTCCCAAACTCAACTATCAATACCTTTGTAAATCATGGTTCTTTAATAAACAAATGTAAAAAATAATTAAAATGATTGAACCCGGGTCAGTCGGGTCGGCTGCTTGCAAGGGAAATGCCTACCCGCTATGCTATCGCTCAAGCTTCAATTCCTCCGCCCCTCTTGGAGAGTCCAGCAAGCTACCTAGATATCTCACCCGCATGGCAAAGCCTGGCAATCTCCCTGTGATGTATTCGATATGCCAAACACGGTAACAACAAGTCTCACAATAGAGATGTTACTGGGCCTGCTCGAGTAAATCGATGGACAATGGGAGGGCAGTGAATTAATATCACATTCCTAGTACAAGTCAATATGAAGAGAGGAACTGGCCTCCTGGGAAGTCCCAGGTTAGAAAGAGCCTCCTCTTTTTGCTTGAGGTTTAAGATATAACCTGATATAACACACAGAATATAACCTGAGGAGAGTCAGCCTGAAGAAGGCTCTAATATTTTAATAAAGCCCAAAGCAGAATATGTCCCAACTAAGAGCTTTGGCCAGTACCCAGTCACTCAGTTCAACCCAGGAGGGAGCTCCGGTAGGTCGCCGGCTCTCAAACCAAAGGATCCCTCTAAAGAGACCAAAATCAGTATTTTGAAGATCCTTCCTGCCCAGTGAGGCCACAAAAAGGCTTCATGCAATTGCTATTGCTTATGTGGCTATGTGGTTAGGTGGCAATTACTAAATGTCAGCCTAATAGCAAGTAGTAATTTTTAAATCTTTAAAGTAGTGGGAAAGTAGTTCTTCAAGGCAATTCTTAATCTTGACCTAATTGTGCAAAAATTTAGCAGTGCTTTTCCTAGGGTGTAATTTTAAAACTACTGTAAATAGTGGAAAATATTGTCAAAAGAAGAAACGCTTCCAATTTACTTCATTATACCAAAAAGGTTCCCGGTTTAGGTTCTGCATTTACCAGACACCATTATCTGTTTAATGGTTTTAAAATCTCGGTGATTTAGCTACAAACCTGCAACACCAGCCAGATGACAGACAGGCTTCTCTACTGAATTGTTAGCCTTGAGTTTTTACCTTAACGTGCCACATACCGTAATTTGAACTGTGAGCGAACTTCCCCGTGTTCTATTTGAATCAGTTCATTATAGCAAGCAATTATGCTGCTATTCTCCATAAATCTCTGAAAAGAAAGCAAAGATAATACATAAGACATATACAATTACCTCTCACAGAGTCAAAGCAACTGCAGCAGCTATTTTTTTCTCATCCAGACAAGTGTTATATAAGACATATATATAAGAGGAGATGAAATAGCTTCGTTGAGATACTTGAAACACTTGGTAAATTGAAGAGAAGCAATAGAGCAGGTAAGACTGCACACTGACCTTCCTTTGGGACACTCAGAGACTAAAGGTGCAAGGGCACAGAATCTCTCCCCCTGTATTACTGGCATGCCTTTATACTATATTACACTAAAAAGGGGGCTTCTGAAACCTGACACTGGATGGACTGACTGTGTGCTACACCAAGGGTGATCCCTCTTCTTGGGTCCTCCCTGACCTTCTGAGTGCCTGTCGCATTCACCTCCCTTCTCTCCTTTGGCTCTGCCCACCTATATACACAACCAATTCACATAGAATTGGAGAACATCTGAGCCTCTGTCCTCCATCTCCACTCTAGTCAGATGGAAGGGTTACGAAGAGGGAAAGCCAAGATCTCCCCATGAAATGAGAAAGACTATTTACAAAGCAACAGGAAAGCAGCATATTTAGATTCAGGTTCAGCTTGCAAATCAGTTGAGATTATAAACCAGCCTAAACAGAGGTCTGAATGTTCTGAGTTGATGCTTCATGAAATACAAAAAAGATCTGTGATAAAATAAGTTTAAAATGTTGGATTAAACGGGATTGTTTTTTAGGAACCAGAGAGATAGTACAGGGGTTAAGATGCTTGCCGTGCATGAGGCTGTTCCTGGTTCAATTTCCAACACATCAGATGGTCTCCCCAAGGGCTGGAGCGATAGCATAGCGATAGGGCGTTTGCCTTGCACACAGCCAACATGGCCGACCCGAGTTCGATTCCTCTGCCCCTCTCGGAGAGCCTGGCAAGCTATCGAGAGTAACTCGCCCCACGGCAGAGCCTGGCAAACCACCCGTGATGTATTCGATATGCCAGACACAGTAACAACAAAGTCTCCAATGGAGACGTTACTGGGCCCACTCGAGCAAATCGACGATAAACGGGAGGGCCTTTACTTTTACTTGAACATATGGTCCCCCAAGTACTACCAGAAGTGACCCCTGATTACAGAACCAAGAGTAAGCCCTCAGCACAGACAGGTGTGGCCTCAAAACAAAAATGATTTTTATTTTAAAAAGACACACTTCCAAGAGAAACATTTTGCTGCCTAATTCTACTGATAAAATTCTTGTGAACTTGAAAGTATAAAATACAACAAATCTAACAGAAAAACCCAAATCACTGACAATGTTATAGGTAGAATAAAAATCTTTATAGTTTGAATAATTGTCTTTGATTTTTTAATTGCGCATGTATATATCTGTTATATATTTGTAATCTATGAAGATTTACACATTTACACATATTTAATATTTTCCTTTCATCTGTAAATAACAATTGCCTGAGTTTTTTTGTTTTTTAGGTTGCCTAAGAACATCCTGTGCTGTGAAGAACAGGTGATGGTTTCTAAATGCTGCAGACCTCTGCTTGCACTTTGTGGTGCCTCATAAGTGTTTTGTAGCTTATGGTAATGGGCTACTAGAGGCATTTTTCAGGCTGTAGCTGATGCCCATCTCAGAAAGAATTCAAGTGACTCCAGAGCTCTTTAAAATTCAACCTGCTCAGAATCCTCTTGGCAAACAAGGAAAATACAGGGACCTGGTCTGGCTCCTGGTCTGCCTGCAGGACTCTTGGCTCTCACCATCTCCTACGCCATGCTGCTGACTAGTATGCAAGTGTGGATATCCAGTAGAAAGAGGATTAACAGCTAATTCCCAAACTTGTTGGACCCCAGAAGTCTTATTACAGAATACCTATGAAGTGGCCTTAGAATGCTAGAACTTCAGAGAACTGTTTGGGTAAGCGTGCTCTGGGGGACCCAACATGCAGTTCACAGTTAAACAAGTATTTTGCTTTTTTTTTTTAAGAAAAAAAATGACTATGACTTCTGGCAAGCTATTTAGTTATTTTTGAAGTCTGTTTCCTCCTCTGCAAAAATCAGAGGGCGGGGTGAAAATCAAACCTCAGGATTAAGTAAACCACTGAGAAGAGAGCCTGATAAGTAATAAATCGTAATTCTCCACTTCCTCCTTCTCAGGAAGCCTCTCCAGGGAGGAACAGTCAAATCGCCAACATGCCAAACACATTGCATCGCACACGCTATGTGCTCCACACATACTTGCTGGATGGAATCAGCCCTGTTTCAAATCGCCAAAGAGGCGCACAGGGTAAGGTGGATGCAGAAACATCCATCTGCTGTCGTCCTCTGCTGAACGCTGGTGTCTAAGAGGCTCCAAGTGGACTGGGCCTCATGGAGGCAGCCACTTACACACAGCTCCGTCAGCATCGAGGGGATGTTGTTATGGAATATGAAAGGGCACAATTTGTTCCTGGATCCCCATTCAAGGACCCACAGAAGCACTGGCTGGTGAGCCAGCAACACAGGGCTGGATTTCAGCAGATGATTTAAGATGATCAAAACAACCCCATGAAGGGAGACAACCTCACAGAAGCAAGAATAATTGGCTTATTTGGAAGGGTGCATGGGTACAAAGTTGTCAGAGGCAAGCTTTTGCCCAAAAAAGGAGCCTAGCCACCTGAAGAAATAGCCTCAGCTGATGTCATACCGCAGTCACTGAGGAGGGAAGGCTCCAGAGGTGCGGTGTGCATCCTTCAGAAACAGCCCAAGTAGTGTGGGAGCACCCTGATCTGGCTGGAAAATGACCCTGGTCATGCACCCCAAGTGTTCCCCAACAGGCACTGCTTTCCATGTTTTCACCAAGATTTATTCACTGGGAGTGGCTACAGAAAGCAGCACCCTATTGGAACAGAGGAAAATAGAATCTTACAGAAAAGCCTATGAAAATGCAGAAAAGGAAAGAATGGAAATTTCTAGACTGACTTCATAATCTAAATTATTGCATTTATACGCGGTCTCCCCATCACTGTGCAGGTCAATAAAAGCTGAGGAATGTGGGTCTTCCAGCTGTGGCACCCGTGGGATACAGGGCCTTCTCCGGACAGCCCCCAGGCCTTGAGGCAGACCTTGCCCACACACTTCAGGAGGTCCTTTCTCAGAAATGAATGGCAGCATTGAACTCTATGCAGTAGGGTGAGCGATACAGAGGATCTAGGAAACTGTGAATCAGGTGATGTTCTAAGACAGAAACTGGGTAAAGAAAAGCTGTCTCAGGGCCCTTTCTCTTTGCCAAGTTCCACCTCCATCCTCAGCAGCACGATTTTCTGTGCACTCACTGAGATCTGTCTCTTGGGCACAGTGCTCAGAACCACAGGGAAGCTTTTGTGAGGAGTATTGATGGACGAGAGAAGAGAGTTATGGAGAAAGTGGTGATGCTACTTAGAAACACAGTGAGCTTGACCACACAGATGGACTGTAGGCTGCCTCAAGTCCTCTGCATGGCCCTGTTGCCTCTGCATTAGAGTACAGCAAATCATAACACAACTGGACCGCACTGGCGATTTCTGCATCTTCACTGTCTACAGTAACGAGGAAACTGGAAAAAAAACTTTTCTTTGCTAGCCTGGAGAACGAACACCCATAGATACTTCCCCTAATAATTCACAAGGCAATATCCAATTTTTGAAGGAAAAGGATCCATCACATCATCTTTGAAATTCATACTGCTCCCATCAAAAGACCTGGAGATACTAGGTATTTCTAGTTATTGCATTTGTGGGTAAGTGATGTCCTTGAAGCAATAAGTCTTAAATCTTCAAGTTGAATCTCAGTATTACTCATAGAGTTGTCAAAGAAATATTTTTTGATGGTTTTGTTTTCACAGAATGCTACTATAATTTACTTGAGTTTAAAAGATTGGCAAAAGTTTCAAAAGTGCCTTTTTTCCCAAAGGGCACTCTAATAGGAGAAAAAATGCTTATTTTCAAACATCAAAGTAGAATACCTCCACAATTTTTCTACAATGATTTTTCTTTCCATAATGAAAATATTTCTTTTTCAGCTTTCCTCTTTTGAAGCTCTGTTTCCACCCCTTTTCTTCTCTCAACTTACCTTTGTTTTCTTTTCCTCTTTTATACACATCACCTTGCTTCTAACTCAACTTTCAGACTGCTCCTACCCTAGGAAACCAGGTAAGCCTAGTTATACAGTTCATCAAGTCTTCTTGGCATTACTGATCTTAAGTTTGAAGCTGAGCCTCAGTGCTATGTGCATCACTGTCAAATAACTTTTGCCCACGGACATTTATGGGTTCAACCGGAAGTTCAAAGAAGGCCACAGCTAGCATGGTCAGACTCTAGAGACGAAGCTCAATCTAGTCTCTGAGGAGCATGTGGGACTGAGCTGGGATGTGCTGGTGCAGGTGGTGATGCGGAGGCTGGATGGAGGGCTCCATTTTCCACAGTCACACTCATACACGGAACCTACTTGCCTACACTGATTTAAATTAGATGATGTGGGGACTACTGAATTTGGATCTGATATGAGAAGATGCTTTTGATGCCATTCTACAGTGATAGCTGAGATGCATGAAGTTGGATGAGAAAGGGAGAACACTATGCCCCGAGAACAATTCTCTGTCTCATGCCTCTGGGGTTAAGTTCCTGGCATAGCCACTGAAGTGTCTGACTTTGCTCTGGGAGGGACGGGGAAGGACACCCACACCAGAGAAAAGTGGATGCTCATCTTCCACATACCCTGTTGAAGCCCGCGTGCAGCAGAGGAAGAACGGAGGCCTCTTCATGGTCACCCGATCTGCAGCAAAGCAGAAAATGTGGTCACTAAGCAGGTACCGTGACCCACCAGGACCCTATCTCTACCTTCCTGATGTGGTAACAGCAAAGGCAGCAGAGACAAGCCAGCAGATCATCTGAAAGCCTCGGCCCAGCACAGGAGAGGCCCCCTCCACCCTCTCCCTCAATCGGCACCTCTACCTGCCCACAGGACTGCAAGAAAATGCCTGGGAGCAGCCTTGGAAAGTGACAAGCTGGGGAAAAGCTTGTCAGAGCCCACTGCCTTCTGAGACACAGCAGGGCGCAACTCCCAGTGTGAGGAAGACAAGCTCCATGGCCGTAGCACCCCAGAGAACCCGAGGCAGGCTGGGTTAGCAGGGAAGGCGAGGAGGAAGCAAAGGTATTCTCACGGCCCATGGCAGGGAGGGGCCTGACACCAAGCTTCTGGCTGGTTGGGGATTTCAGTCCACATTTGAGGATGGTGTGTGACAAGGACACGCTGGGGCAGGGCAGCCACCTATGAAAAGGCAATGGTGTCCTAGAGACAAACCAGCCAGCATCCTGGGCACCTAGCTTGGGAAATGGGTATGGAAAATGGACTCGAAGGGACTGGGTGGCACAGGAGAAAAAGAGGAAGCGACATCCGGTGCTAAGGGGCAGCACAGGCTCCTAATCTACAGGGGAAACTATTGTTCTCCATCACTTTTCTCCTCTTGGAACACAAGTTCTGGGTTCTCTGAATACATCAGAGGGGCACAAAAAGCCCCCCCCCCAAGAGTTTCTTCTCCTAAGTTGGTTGGCACAAATACCATGTGTTTTACTATTCAATCTCTCCCTTTCTACATATTTTTATTTTTAAAACTGAGGGGTGGCAGGAGAGATTCAATGGTTAAGCCACTTGCCTTGCATGCAGCTAACCTTGGTTCAATCCTTGGCACCATTATGGTGCACCAGCACTGCCAGGCGTGATCCCTGAGTGCACAGTCAGGAGTAAGCGCTGAGCACTGATGGGTGTGGCCCCGCACAAATACAAAACCTAAAAAATATTTTAATTATGGCACTTTTTAAAAAAAAATCTCAGGGCTAGGATGAAGGAGATGTTACTGGGGCCTGCTCGAGGCAATCGACGAATAACAGGATGGCTGTGATTGTGATTGATTAAAAAAAATCCTAAAACCAGTAGTGCTGATGGGCAATTGGAAAATAACAAATAGGCCACCACAAATCATCAGTTATCAAGGTCTATTAGTAAACATTTTTGACACAAATCGGGGGAACAAAGGGGGGTGGGAATTGGATTCATTCTCAGGATACTAGAATAACCCGGCATGGGGAAGGTGCTTGGTGCTCAGAACTGCTCTGTAGGGCATTTCCAAGATGCTAAGATACTGTTAAAACTTCAGAATTTCCAGAAACTCACACAAGGCCCAGAGGGCTGAAGAAGGGGAACTTCCCACAGAAATTCCTCAAAATCACTGCCCTTTCCGCCCCTTTCCCACTTGGATCTATAATCATTAGGTGACTACAGTGCATTGTGATCTTTAGAAAGATTTCGCTGATTGCGGTTTGTATAGACAACTCTTTCCACCTAGATCTTTCATTTTAAGCGCTGTCCACTTTAGACAATACACCTAATAGAGCAGGTTCTTATCCCCGAGTCTCAAATCTACAACTCAACCCCCCTCTCCTCATGCTTTCCAAACACTGGCACCAATCCTGCTCTGAGCCATATAACAGTTTTGACATAAAATGGGCATAATCCTTTTGCAGTCAATTTAGCACCTCTCTGTCCTCAGGCTTCCATGTGCTGCTGCTTTATAGAAAAAACTAGCATTCCCCAACTCTTCAAAGACAAAAAATAACCTGGAACAATGTTTTCTCCAGACCTCCTCCTCCCCAGATTGTCTCTTTAGTTCTAGCATATAATGAGTAACTATTTTTTCCGAGGTGTATGAGTATGTGCTAACAGCACTCAGCTATGAGAGAGGAGGGAGGGAGAGAGAAAGGGGGGGAAGGAGGGAGGAGGGAGAGAGAGATAGGAGAGAAAGGGGGAGGGAGAGGGAGGCAGAGAGGGAGAGAGAAGGGAGAGGACAGAGAGGGAGGAAAGAGAGGAAGGAGAGAGGGAGATAGAAGGAGGGAGGGAGGGACGGAGGGAGGCAGAGAGGGAGAGAGGGAGAGAGAAAAGAGAGGGAGGGAAAGGGGAGGGAGGAGGGAGGGAAGGAGGGAAGAGGGAAAAGAGACTGGAGAGAAGGGAGTGAGGGAGAGGTAGGCAGAGAGGAATAGAGAGAGGAAAGAGAAGGTAGAAGAAAGAAGAGAGGGAGAAAGGAGGAGGTAGAGAGAGAGGGAGGGAGGGGGATGGGTGGAGGGAGGGGGGAGGGAGGGAGGGAGAGAGGAAGGGAGGGAGGGAGGGAGAATCTGGAATACTTCCAGAAACTTTAAAAAGGAAGCAACCCTCCTACCCACCGGCCCCTTTTCCATGCAAAATCTCAGACTGGACCCAAGATATGCCTGCTGCTTGGCAGGCTCTGAGACTGGATTGCATCAGGAGAAACATTTCAGAAAGGACAAGGCTGCTTGCTGGGGATGGGGAGGCGAGCTTACGCTTGTGAAACCACCGCTAAGATCACCGTGTGCTCAGAGGGATTCGTGGCCCGGATCGACCTGTAATGAGAAGGCTTCAAGTCAGACCAGGTGATCTCAACCTTTCCACATTCAACAAACGTAGACCATCTTCACACTGAAAAATTGGCACAAAACCCGATCTTCCTCTAAAAAAAAAGCTTGAGAAAGCATGGAAGACAACAAAGAAAGATGCCCTTGCTGATTAGGACAATCTCTTATTTGAATACCCCGGCAAGTATCTAATAGGTTGGACCTGCCAATTTTCCATTTCAAAAGCTGGCAAATTTCACATTTTCTGAAATTCTACTACTAAAAAAAAAGAAAACCAAAAAACTGGCAGTTCTACAATTTTCTAGTTATCAGTTTGTACTTGGGGCACTAATTGGGTTGGGTTTAACTTTTTAAAAAAATTTTAAATCTCCTTTAAAAATGAGACAGTTCAGAAAGTGCACCTTAAAATAAACATTAAAGTACTTAACAGCATCTAGATATAGATAAAAATTCAGGTTAAAGGCTATTAAAGATGACAGAAAGAACGGCCGAAAATTTTTAGTTGTGCTGCACTTGTTTTTTAAATTTTTTTTAAAAAAAGAAAAGAAAAGAAAAGAAAACTGGGTTATCAATCGTGGCTAAGAAAAGCTTCGATAAAGTAGTTGACCTTAATGATATGTGAGCTTGCATATAGTTGGTTTATTTCCGAGCAACGGAGATAATGACACAGAGACTTGAGGTTCCTAAGTCTTAGGAAAATGCACAGTGCGCTACAGTCCAGATTCAGAATTATTTTGGTCAGGGGTCAGGAATTGGATGGCTTTTAATAAAAGGTCACATACTTGAGTCTCAGTACAAACAAGCATGCTTGCTTTGACCCATCTCCTTGATTATTTTGAGATCCCTCCCAGGAAATGATCATGTCCAAGAACAGGAGGCTCAAAACTGCTCTTGAGTCATTTGTGATACAACACAAATTGTTTTTCTATCAGCGTTTCTGTTTCTCTCCATGCTAACATGTCTATGTCACCATCTCCCCCTGGGGAGAACGAGTGCTTATTGATTCCTCCTTTTCAACTCCAGAATTTCCAAATGGCTCAAAAGGAAAAAAAAAAAAGGCACCTTCCTTATTTTCTATTCATTCAGTCCCTCTGATTCAAAGAATGGTGTTCCTGAGCCCTCCTGACTCAAGGTGTTTGAATGAGCCCTTTGGAGAGAGTGATCTAAGTCACTCATTGTGTGGCAGGATGGATACTTCCATGGCTAGCACAGGTCCCGTCCCGTCCAGCCACCACAAACATGCCCTGAGAAGGTCACTTACACTCACATCCTACTTTGGACTCTTTGGACTCACAGCTTCCTGGACTCTTACTCAATGTACATCCTGAAAATAAGTTGGCACTTCATGGAGAAAATGCTGTGCTTCAGAGACCTGCTCTACTCTCTAACATCAGGGTGGCCTGGGAAAGTCTGGCCCAATGACCACGTGAGGTCTATGAAAACCTATAGGCTGGTCCTGTGGCATGACAAGACTGATGCCTACTGCCTCTACTGTGTGAGCCACAAATAATATTATTAATATCCAAATGGTCCATGGCAGCAAGACGTTTTCCTGTCTTTGTTCTAGGGAAACAGTGGGCAACTCTGACCTTTGTCAGAGAAGTCCGGGGTATGGCACTGGGCTCCAATCTAAAGGCAGAAGGCTCAGTTCAGCACGTGACGAGCATGTGGGGGCCAGACCTCCTTCTTCTTCTAGGACTATCTTGTGGATGAACTCCTGTGTTAAATTTCTCTCTCATTCCCACAAAGGAGTGATGTGGCCAGAGGGACCTGACCTGGGCCTCTTCCAGGTTAAGGACTTAGGGAGACTTGGGAATAGACAGGGCAGGGCTCCAGGAAGGATGGAAGCTCAAAAGTCAGCAATCTTGGGCCACAGATGACATCAAGGAACACACCTCTGCCGGGGTGTGTCCTCCAAGTATCACAGGGATGATGGACCAGCAGTCAAGCATCCAGGACACTGGCTACTCTGCAAAAGATGATAACAGTAATCCCCACTCCCCCCACCAGGCATGTCACCAGGCTCTGTATGGCACATACCTCCTCTTGTCTCTCCATGTGACTAATACAGAGACCCAGTCATTATGAAACAGAAGTACTCTTCCTTATAGTCAAGGAAGAATGGGAAGACAGTCTACCAAATCAGGGATTTGCCCAAATTGAAAGGATTCTTCCTATTAGGGTTTTCTTTTTATATTCAACCATTTGAGTATGCTCACAACATTGTTGTATTTCTACAAAGTCATGTAAGGTAAAAAGGTAAAGGCCCTGCCGTTGATCGTCGATTTGCTCGAGCGGGCCCAGTAACGTCTCCATTGGAGACTTTGTTGTTACTGTGTCTGGCATATCGAATACTCTGGGTAGCTTGCCGGGCTCTCCGAGAGGGGCGGAGGAATCGAACTCGGGTCGGCCATGTTGGCCGCGTGTAAGGCGAACGCCCTACCACAAAGTCATGTAAGAAAAGTAAATGGAGAGGGGATGTGAGACACTGGTGGATGGATGCAGACACTGGTGGCAGATGTCGGGGAACACTGCCTGCAGTTCTATTAAGAGTACTACAAGTCAGAGTGCTTTGATAAAAATAATTTAAAAAAGTAAATGAAGAACAATTAAATGCAAACCTATAAAGGACCTACTCATTTGAAAATTATTTCAAGAAAAAAGTATTTCTCAGGGTTGGAGAGATAATATAGTGAATAAGGTACTTGCCTTACACACAGTCAACTAGGGTCATCCCCAGCACCATATATGGTTCCCCAAGCTCTGCCAGGAAGGATCCCTGAATTCAGATTCAGGATTAAGCCTGAGAACTGCAGATTGTGGCCACCCAGACTTTTTTTTAAAAGTTTTTTAAACTAAAAAAGAATCTTCCAAATACTTTTTTTACATATGTGGAATAATACATATGGGTAATACGTATACATATATGCTCACACATGCACCTGCATACTTCATACAGAAATATCTATGACCAGTGCACTGCATTGTAGCACTGTCCTCCAGTTGTTCATGGATTTGCTCAAGCGGGCACCAGTAACGTCTCCATCGTGAGACTTGTTGTTACTTGTTTTTGGCATATCGATACGTCACGGGTAGCTTGTCGGGCTTTGCTGTGCAGGTGGAATACTCTCTATAGCTTGCGGGGCTCTCCGAGAGGGGCGGAGAAATCAAACCTGGGTCGGCTGTGTGCAAGGCAAATGCCCTACCCGCTGTGCTATGGCTCCAGCCCCTAAGACCAGTAAGACATTTAAAACATTTAAAAAAAAATCAATTTTAGGAAACTTAAAAATCAAAGGGTAGTAAGGTGATCTGGAGGAGAGAAACTTCTCTTAACCCATTCATTTCTTCTCAGGATACCAAAGTTTCTAAGACGTCATTTCCCTAACCGTGCACTTTACACCCTAACATTCAAGAAAATTCTCCCTCCATATGTTCCTGGAGCCTGTCCTGGCCTTTCATTTCATGACTGACCTCTTCCCATCCAGCTTCAAAGCATTCCACTTCTGCCAAATGGCAAACTACTCTGTTCACCCCAAGATAACTCTTCAGGGCTGCATTTATTTAGGAACAAGCACGCATTTCCTCCCCAGAGGGCCCACGTTTCTGTAAACAGGCAGGGGTGCTGGGTCTCTGGGAGCTTCCCCACTGTTGCCAAGTGGCTGCCTTTGCGGTGGGATCCACCCATCTGTGTCAGGCAGGGAAAACTTTCTACTTCACACATTTCTGGTGTTCATTTTGCGGCAGAATAATTAAGATTAAACTGTGAATTTTAATGGGTTTTTTTTTTGGTGTGTGTGTGAAATATGAGTAATGCTCGAGGGAGTGGGGTGGGGGACACCCTAAAGCTTTCAGTGGAGCCCAGCTCACACCTCTAGATTCAACTGAATGCAAATACGGGAAAATAGAAAAGGTGAGATGCAGCTCCGGGAGAAGCGAGAGCTTGTACCACAGAAGTCTGTCTCTGCGGTGGAGAGCGAGGAGTGCAGAGTTCACAGGCTCTAGGCATGGAACTGAAGGCGCCCATGAGAGAAAAGGACATTTACGCAGCTCATCCAATGGACGTACCTGCACACTGCTTCCGCATCGAAGTTACGTGTTTGTCTGTGATCGATGACAATAATTTCATGGTGTTTATCGAGGAAGCACTCCAGGGCTGACTCTGGCGTCCGAGCAATATTGCATCTATAACCAGCTCTGTCACAGGCCCACCAGAATCCATCACTCTGACTATCTTCCTTGGCAAAGATCAGCAAAACCTGCAACACAGAGAAGAGAGCATACTGATAAATCAACTTCTGATAGATCAAGCTGGTAACCGCAAAGACTGGACAGAACCGTGGTCTCAAAGGGAAGCAGTCCGGTTCGACTCCCAAGTTCCCTCACTGATTCAAAAGGATCTGTGCACAGAAGCATCGCTTCTCTTGAGCCAATGGTTTCTCTACTATGAGGCTAGGTCCGAACCAGTGTGTATGAACTAGTTGTGAGACACAAAATATTCTTTTTTAAATTTTTTTATTTTATAAAGTAGTTCACAATATTTGATTACATTTAATATTCAGACACACAGCGGGTAGGGTGTTTGCCTTGCACACAGCCAACATGGCCCACCCAAGTTCGATTCCTCCGTCTCTCTCGAAGAGCCTGGCAAGCTACTGAGAGTATCTCGCCCACACGGCAAAGTCTGGCAAGCTCCCCGTGACGTATTCAATATGCCAAACACAGTAACAAGTCTCACAATGTTACTGGGCCCACTCGAGCAAATCGATGAACAATGGGAGGACAGTGACAGTGATTCAGACACAAATCCCACCACCATTATACCTTCTCACCACCATATTTTGGATGTTTCCATCCTGAACTTCAATTCCTGTCCCAAAGCAGAACTGAAATAATATATTTTGTATTGTTCGTTATGAAAAACTGCTGAAAATGCTACTAAAAAGTATCCACAAAGGAAAGAGTGTGAAGATTGTTTTGTTTCACCCAGGGGCCATTAAGCCCTTCTGTAAGAGACCACTAACATGTTGTTAAAGGTTGAGCATTGTGTGTGTGTGTGTGTATGTATATCTGTAAAAAAATTTTCCCTCTAGGATTGGTTGTCTCCTACTTTGAACCCCATCAAGTGTGGTGTGGTACTTTTTGAGTATGGGTAGGGCATGTCCTATGAAAATGTTACTAATGGTCCAGGAAAAGGTTCACTCGTGGGTGAGGCTCAATCTGAGCATGTGGAGAGCAGTCGTGAGCATAGCAGCAGTTGAGTTCTGAAGGTTTATAGCTGCTCGGGCTGGGTCCCTTGGGGTGGGGAGAGGTCTCACCCACCCCTCTCTGGGGCGCCCCAAGTGGAAGCTTGGCATGGGGTGTGGTGGCATGGTTATGGCGGGCGTCATGTTATGCTTCCTTCCGGAAGAGAAGGACCTGTGATCTGGATGGTGGCCAATGACAAGATTATCTGGCGCCAGCCAGGGGTGGCTTATGGGCATGACTGATGGGTTGCCAGAGACAGGGGGATATGGGTAGAGGATCCCGGTCCCATTGAAACCTGAGTTTCAGGAGACATGAAAGACATGAAAGATTCAACCCAGAATTGATGTTCAGCCATCCTAGGTGTCGCCTCTCATTATTTCTAGTATCTCGGTTGCAGTCACCCACTGCCTTCTTTCTTCACTAGACTCAGCAGACAAATGATGAGCAGGACAACTTATCCAGATTATATTCTAGTTCATATACACACGTTTGGTTCAGAGCAGACAGTACTTGCCTCAAATTTCTCTGGAGACAACCACCATCCTGCCCCTACCATCCCCAATCTCTGAGCTTACATCTAGCTGCAGTCTCTGAGCTGCAAAGCTTAATTCTTGCGCCCAACCCTTGGGAAAAGATGGGGAAATGATGGGGAAAGAATCATGAAATGTGAGGTGATGGGACTAACCTGTTACATGTAGCAGAACAACCCCAACTCCTAGAAAGGAGAGAGACCTAACACACACCCCGTGCAAAGCATCATTCCCCTAAACCCTGAGATTCAGAATTTCTGGCAGCCAGGATGGCTTTACAACCATGGATGCACCATGTCCTTGTTTATGGTCTGCTCTGCACTAGAACTGAGTGGGAGACCAAGGGCCTGCCAGCCACACCCCCTGCTGGGCCAGGCTGGCACTTTGTGAGCTGCTGAGCAAATATTTAATGAGTGGAACGATTATCTACTTGGAGGGCCTTCTGCAAAATGTGACAGGGCATTCACACTAATTGGAATAAGACTACTTCACAACAGGGCCAGTGAGAAAAGTTAAGTTCGAGATATTGATAAGGCATTTCTTATTCATTAGCATCTGTTTTGGGCTGAAGCCATGAGAAGACTATTTTCTCAACATGAAGAGGCTTTACGTCAAAGAGGCTATCAGGGGCGAGAAAGACTGTACAGGTACAGATATTAAAAAGGTGCCCGCCTTGCTGCAGCCTACTGTTTCTATCCCTTGCACCACAAATGAGCCCCTGAGCTCTACAAAGAGTGATCTGTGAGCTCAGAGCCAGGAGTAAGCCCTAAGCACAGCTGGTTGTGGCTCCAATACAAAAAGCAACACACACACACACACACACTCTCAAAGGACGAATATCATTCTTACCGAAGCATGTTTTGTTTAGAATAGGAAACCAGGGTTAAGGGCAATAGCTCAGAAGGGGAGAATGAATTCCCTGCATGAATAAGCCCCGAAGTTTGGTTCCCAGCTCTTGACTGACAGCACCCTGGGCCTGATGACCGAACAATCAGGTCCACATCTTTGAACCAAGTATTACAGGATGATTCCTGAGCCCCTCCCTCGCCCTACCTCCCCCCCTCGCACCCCTGTCACGACTACATGGACGGACCTCACAAGTGCAAGCAGGAATTCAACTCCTGAGCTACACTCCCAGCCTAAACCATTTTTCAACACAGAAAGGCAGAAACAATGCGTACTAGGCACCAACGACCATCTCCTAGCTCCAGTGACAAATACCTCCTGGCCAATCTGATTTCCTCTCTCTTCCTTTCCCAACTTTGTTCTGGTTAATGACAAATCCTAGGTATTGCGTAATTTCACCAGTATGCATGTGTTAAGGAAAAAGAAACTGTCTTTTTTTGTTGTTGTTTGGAGCCACATGCAGCAGTGCTCAGGGCTTTGTTCTGGCTCTACCTTCAGGGATCACTCCTGGTAGGCTCAGGGCACCAAAGGGATGCTGGAGACTGAACTCAGGTGAGCTATGTGCAAGGCAACACCATATTTAGCGTGCTATCGCTCCAGTTCCAGCACTAGCACTAGCACTAGCGTCCTGTTCACTGATTTGCTCGAGTGGGCCCAGTAACATCTCCATTGTGAAACTTGTTGTTACTGTGTTTGGCATATGGAATACGTCACGGGTAGCTTACCAGGCTTTGCCTTGCAGGAGGGATACTCTAGGTAGCTTGCCGGGCTCTCCGAGAGGGGCAAAGGAATCGAACTCCGGTCAGCCAGGTCGGCTGTGTGCAAGGCAAAGTCCCTACCTGCTGTGCGATCACTCTAGCCTCTCCAGTTCCAGAATAAAAAAATTTTCTAAACAAACAAAAGCATACAGGTGGAGGGTCCTGGGCACTTCGGTAGTGGTGGGGTGTGGTAACTTTACCTCTAAACTATAAATGTTAACACAATTGTAAATGTGTTGCCTAAATGACAATTACTATTTATTTTTGGTTTGGAGGCCAGACCTGGCAGTACTCAAAACTTACTTCTGGCTCTGTACTCAGGGATCATTCCTGCTGGGGCTTGGGGGCCCAAATGGGGTGCCAAGGATCAAACCCAGGTCAGCTACATGCAAGGCAAATGCATACTACCTGCCATACTATAGATCTGGCCCTACAATTATTTTTAAAAGCCCTAATACTATTTCATATCTAAATCCACCTATAATTCATTCAATATCTGAAAATATAAATGTTCTTTGTTTTACACTCTGTTCAAATCATTTTCCATTTTCTCAGTGCCACATTTCCTAAAAAATAAAATAAAATAAAATAAAAATCTAGTCTGTAAATGACCAGACAATTTCTTCTTAGTACATGGCTTGTACAACCAGTTTGCAGAGGTGGGACTGATTTATTAAGAGTGCCTTCTACAGGTGACAGTTTGTCCCCACAATCCAAGGGGTCTGGACTGACCTCACCACTTCTAGGAGAAACTGGAGATGCAGGCTCCAAAAGAAGTGATGGGGTGGGTGTTGGAATTTGTATGACTGAAACCCAATCATGAACAGCTCTGTAATGCTCTATCTCATGGTGGTTCAGTGAAATATAAATATATATTTTTTAAAAGAAGATTTTGAAACTGAAAAGAAAGACTTCCAATGAGAGCTGCAATGATAAAAATCAAGTAGAATAAGTTGGTTTGTGAAAAGTCAATAGCCTTTTACTCGGTGTACAATTAACATGAGAAACTCCCTGGGCAGAGGTTCAAAGTCAGAAATGGTGACAGAATGTCTCATTTCTCATTAGTCTGGCTGAATTATGGATTGCTGAGCAAGAATCTACCTCAACACTTTCTATTGCCTTGCTCTTGTTATGTCTGTATTTGACAACACAGTACAAATGGTAATGTTTCACTGGACATTACTACAGAGAGTAACTATTTAAATCATTTTAATATTTAAAATGATTCAGGGGACCCTGGTTTGATTCTAAGCATCCCATATGGTCCCCTGAGAACCACCAGGAGTAATCCCTGAACCAGGAGTGGTCCAAAAAAACTAAATAAATAAATAAATAAAACAAAAATAATATAGGAGTATTTATATTAGAAAAACACTAGAGAATTTTTGAGGATAGTGTTTAAAATTCTTCCCATTTATTAAAAATTCAGAAAGATTATTTTTCATAATTCATCTCCCAAACAAAACAAAATATTTCTGGGAATTAAAAATATGTACATTTTGAAGTACTGTAGTAACCACTTTTTTTTTTTAATTCCTGGCAATACTCAGGAATTACTCCTAGCAATGCTCGGGGGCCATAAGGGATGCCGGGAATCAAATCTAGGTGGGCCATGATCAAGGCAAATGCCCTACTATAAACTATTGCTCTGGCCCCTGCAATGATCACTTTTGATGTCCACTCGCCTCTGGGAAATGATCTCCTAAGAAGCAACTGACCCAAGTATCCTAACACTCAGGCCACAGGTGGGCTAATGAAAGCATGTTTCCAGGAATCTGAAAACTAAACAGAGACAAAGGCTAGGAGTTGGAAACTGTG